TTCATCCTGGATTTCCTGGTCAGGTCTTAAATCCAATGACAAGTGTCCATATAAGAGGTGGCAGGCGAGAAGACACAAACACATAAAAGAGAAGGCAACGTGCAGATAAAGACAGAGATTGAAGTGATGTGGCCACAAATCAACAAAGCCAAGAAATGCTGGCTGTCACCGGAAAATGGGAGAGGCATGGAATAATTCTTTCCCAGAACCTCCAAATAGAGACTTACACTGCTGGCACCTTGATTTTGAACGTCTGGTCTACAGAACCAGGAGAGAACACATTTGTTTGTTTCAAGCCAATGAGTTTGTTATCATTTGTTAAGGTGGTGGTTGTGGTTGTATGACAAGGAGTTGGTTTCAACTCACAGCAACCCTGTATACGGTTTACCAGAACAGAAAGCCTCATCTTTCTTCTGCACAACAGCTGGTAGTTTCAAACTGCTGACCTTGAGGTTAGCAGCCTGACTAGTAACCACTATGCTACCTGAGCTTCTTATTTGTTAAGGTAAAAATAGGAAATTGATACATCTTTCAAGCAATGACTTCTTGTTGTTAAATTGTTTTTCAGTGCTGTTGAGTCAGTTCAGAGGAGCAGCGGTTGGGTTTGAACTGTGTAACACGTGGTTAGCAGTCCAGTGCTTATTCTATACCAGGACCCTAAGCAATGACAATGCTCAATTAAATTCATATGCTCTTAGATTGACATGTTTGACACTATTTGTGTGAAAAGACAGCTCTAAAAATGAAATACGTAAACTCTCATTAGAGATAAGTATTAACAGAACACTTGTAACTGATTTTGATGAAAATGTTACCCTCTCCCCAAAATTCTATTCCACTCATTACTAAAACTTTATTTTAAAAAAAGTACTCAATTGTTAACTATATTTTGATTTTTTAAATAAAACTTGGAGACATCGGTTTTCTTCAATCTTGGTATATAATTATCATCATAATATCCTTAATTTTGCCTCACAAAAACTGAACTATTTCCTATTTCCCAACTTCTAGTCTACTGGCCTGGAGCTGTAGGATAAGCACTGGACTGCAAGGTTGGTTTAAATGGCAAAGTTGGCAGTTCAAATTCACCAGCTACTCCTCTGAAACCCAATACAGGGTCGGTATGAGTCAGAACCAACTCCATGGCAATTAACAACAACAAGAAGTCTGTGCTGGTGTGGCACTGTAAGATAAGCACTGGAGGGCAAGGTTGATTTAAACCACAAGGTCAGAAGTTCAAACTCACCAGCCGATCCTCACAAACATTATACAGGGTCACTGTGATTCGGAACCAACTCCATGGCACTTAACAACAACAATAACAAGTCTATACTACTAACCACAAGATCAGTTGCTGGCTCCTGGGAAATTGTATACAGGGTCGCTATGAATCCTGGGAAATTGTATACAGGGTCGCTATGAATCCTGGGAAATTGTATACAGGGTCGCTATGAATCCGAAGAAGCATTTAGCAAAAACATGTCTAAATACAAAGGAGCCCTGTGGCACTGTGGGCTAGACATTGACTAAAGGTTGGTGGTTCAAACCCACCAGCTGCTGTTTGAGAGAACAGTAAGGCTGTCTGCTCCTGTAAAGATTCAGTCTTAGAAACCCTATAAAGGGTCACTACCAGTCAGGATTGACTTGAACAGTGGTGGAGTCTAAATGCAGCTCCTGCCACAGTTCCTACTGTGTATTTTGGCTTAGAAATCGCAAACATTTCAGCACCAGCTAGCACTTCTGGGAAGTCACTGGAAAAGGGAAGGCATTAGGAATCAAAATGTTGAGTTAATTCAGTACTGGATGAACAGTAATTTAGGCAACATTCATTCAGCATCTATAATAGATGGAATCCTGGTGCAGCACTGTGGGTTAATGCACTGGACTGCAAATTTGGTTTGAACTACAAGGTTGGTGGTTCAAGCTCACCAGCTGCTCCTCGGAAACCCTATACAGGGGCGCTATGGGTCAGAACCGACTTCAGGTCACTGAACAACAACATATAAGCGGTGCAGACATTTATAGGATTTAGCTCAGCAGTGAGCAGTTGAGAAGATCAAGAGATTGACACTTGCCAGATCAAAGGTAGAGGAGTTGATGTTTGGGGACTGGTTTCTCTTGGGGGCAAACAGAACTGCCAGGAGACAAAAACTGCTGAAGCTCCAAGTAGCTCACACAAACCATTTCCACCTTCGCAGCAACAGGAGTCTTTTCCACATCAACCTCTTTAGTAAATTTTGGTTGGGAATGTTCTGATGAATGAGTGAACATATATATTGTTTGTAAAAACATGACGGTATTTTCTTACTCAGAGAGGTAAAAGAAAGTGAGTAGGGGAAACCCTAGGCCAGGGGTGAGGAATCTTTTTTCTGCCAAAATTTATGATATCATCCGGCCCATACAAAATTATCAACTTAAAAATTGTTGTTGTTGTTAAGTGCTCTAGAGTTGGTTCTGAGTCATAGTGACTCTACATAGGGTTTCCAAAGAGCGGCTGGTGAGTGCGAACGGGCCACTTTGTGGTTAAAACCGACTTTGTGGCCCAATGCATTATCCTGCAGCGCCATATTGCTATATTTGGTCAAACATTTGTGTGGCGCTGAGGATTAATGCACTGGCCTATAAAGTCGGTTTGAACCGCCACTTGGCGATTCAACCTCACCAGCCGCTCTTCGGAAATCCTATACAGAGTCACTATGGGTCAGAACCAACTCTACGGCACTTAACAACAACAAATGTGATGGCTCGAGGCCAGCTGTGGAATAAAGGACTGGATAAAGGAGCTCTGGTAGCTTAGCGGTTACGAATGGGGCTGGGAACCACAAGGTCAGCAGTTCGAAACTGCCATCGGATCCGCAGGAGAAAGATGAGGCTATCTGCTCCCGTAAAGATTTACAGCCTCAGAAATCCTGTTCAGGGTCGTTATGGGTCGGAACCTACTCGACGGCACTAAACAACAAGTAAGTTTGAGCTCTGGTAGCGTAGTGGTTACTAACCGGGCTGCTAACCTCAAGGTCAGCAGTTCGAAACTACCAGCTGTTCCACGGGAGAAAGATGAGGCTTTCTGCTCCCATAAAGATTTGCAGTTTCGGAGACCCTGTGCAAGGTCACTTATGAGTTGGAACCGACTCCACGGTACTTAACAACAAAAGTAAGTTTGTACCACAAGGTCAGTGGTTCAAATCCACCGATTTCTCCTAGGAAACGCTATACAGGGTCGCAACTGACTGCACAGCACCTAATAACAATATGATGGCTGGAACTGCGATTGTCTTGACAGGACCAGACCAAATGTTTTCCAGACGTTCCCCACTCTTTAGGCTAAGGAAGATCTGGGAAATGTGTCTTGTTCTGATGCAGAGAACATCACATTCCTAAACACACACATTTGTTGTTGTTGTTGTTAAGTGCCATCGAGTCGGTTCCGACCCATAGCGACCCTGTACAGGGTTTCCGAGGGGGTGAATCTTTACGGGAGTAGAAAGCCTCATCTTTCTCCCGCGGAGCGGCTGGTAGTTTCGAACCGCTGACCTTAAGGTTCGCAGCCCGATTCGTAACCACTACCCTACCAGAGCTCCTTATATACTACATAGAATATATTAATATATTTACACTCTAATTCCCTCTCTATATATTAGTAGGGTTTAGATTTAAATGTAATTATAATTATAATGTATTTTGCGGTGGACACAGGGCATCTTGAGAGACGATTAATAACAATAAATAGAGGGGTCTATCCACGTGTGTTCATGGCTAGAACCTCAGCTCCACCAGCTTTAACTTCCCCTCAATTGTTTTCCCAACCAAACACCCCTCTTCTACCCTCACTCTCTGCAGAATCCCAGAGTCGGCTACTAGGCCAATGACAGTTTTAGAGAAGACTTCTTGGGAAGAGGCATTATCTTCAGGAACACATTCCGGTCAACTTTGTAGTTGAGTCACCTATTTCGGTTGGTAGCGGTCGCTATTTCTTTAAATGGACAGTGGATTTCGAAACGGGGAGAGGGGGGTTCAGGAAAAGGAACTCAACTGCCTTTGATAACTGCCCAGCCTTCCCCTGAACGCGCGATGGGCGAGCGGGCGCCTGCGGACCGCACCCACGAGCGGATACTCGCTGGGCCCCTCTTTTCTGGGCGCCCACCTTCCCAAGGAATCCCCCCGCCGGGCCGCGCTCCTGCGCCTGTGGCGCGGTCGCGCGGCTTTGTCTTCGGCATCGCGCTAGGGCGCTCGCTCTCCCCACATTTCCCCTTGTGCAGTCTGTAACCCGATCTCCCATTTCCTGGTGGATTCTCTTAAAGAGGCAGCGGTCGAGTAGCAGAACAAAGGCTATTGTTTTATTTCCTCCTTTGGATTCCGCGTCCTTACCGGAATGCCCCTAGTCTATAATTACTTACATTGCCTCTGCGCTTTGGAGAAGAAATCCCCCAAATCATTTAAAGAGTGCCTTGTACTGTAAGGGACAGCGCCACGGGGGAGTGGGGGGTGGTGGGAGGCGTTTAATAAAACCTGTTTGGTAGTTTCTGGGGTCACAGTGTAACATTTTTAAAACGGGTCTTCCTTGCGAGGAGCAATGGTTGGGAGCAGCCTAGCCAAATCCGCCAGCGGGACTAGCCCAGAGTCTGGCGGGTGGAGGGCGTCCGCCGCACCGAGGTCTCCACCGGTCCCTCCCCTCGCGCCGCGGCCGCCCCGTTCCCCCGGGTCCCGCTCCCCGCGACGGCCCCTCCCCCCGCCAGGCTTTTATTTCCCTGATGCCGGGCTGTAACCCGAGCTTTTATTTCCTGGTGGCTCCTTTAAGAGGCAGAGCTCGGTGCTGGGAATTCACGTCAGTTTCTGCACTGAAACTCTCAAGATCAATGAGCAAAGAGCTTTCTCAGTTCTGCCTTTCAGTTTCTCTCTTCCAGGAAGGAAAACATTCGAGAGAGCGAGGGAGAGCAGGCGGCGGGAGGGCTGGGGGCGGGGGCGCCGGCCGCGGGTGGGAGGAGAGACCGGGAGGCCGGGCTGCGTCCCGGGTCGCCTTGCCGCGCCGTGACCTGCAGACCCTGCGGCCGCGGTCCGGCCCGGGTCCCACGCCCCCGCCGCCCTGCGCACCCTACTCCGCCGGCCGCCCCGCCTCGCGCGCTCGCAGACCCCCGGGGCGGCTGCCGGGAGAGATGCTGGAAGAAACTTCTTAAATGACCGCGTCCGGCTGGCAGTGGAGCATTTCTGGGTTGGGGAGAGGAAAGGAAAGTGGAAAAAAACTGAGAACTTCCTGATCTCTCTCGCTGTGAGACATGTCTGAGACTCCTGCTCAGTGTAGCATTAAGGTAAAAACCTTCTCCCCCTCCCTCTCTCTGGTCGAAAACCTTGAGCTGCACCGGTCAGGGCTGTTTTGCTGGGCTGCTCCGACTGGGCTGTTGCAGTTGCTCTGTTCGCAGTAAATTATTTGGGGCGCGAGGGAAGGAGATGCAGCTCGCGTCGGCTGTACCCTTTAGTGTAACCTTGCTACTTCCCCCGCCGAGCCCCCTGTCGTCGGCTTGGTCCCCATCCACCTCCTTTCTTTTGACAATGAAATGCCCGTCACAGTTGGTCAGGAGGAACCCAGGTTGTTTCAAGAACTGTAAAACACCTCCGTAATTAGTGTGCTTAAAAAAAAACAAAACCCTGCTCCTTATTCCTACACCCAACATGTGACTGAAATGTAACTTTTGTTCGGGAGGGGTGGTCTCCCTAGAAGAAAAAGTTCTTCAACCCCCCCCCCCCCTTGGGGATGGAATCATTTTTGTTTTCCAGGACTCACTGAGTCTGATCACACAAGACTCCCCCCACCCCCTTCTCTGATTGTAATTACCAGCACCGGTCGGAGAGACAGTCCTGGTGTCAGCTTTTCCTGGGCATTGCACAATGAATTTCTTTCCTTTTCTTTTTTTCCCCTTGTTAACCAAGGTGAATAAAGTTGTCGAATGGTTCTGTTTGCACTGATGTATATAAAAGTCGAGCTATCCCAAAGCAGAAAACTGTGATGCACGGGTGAAAGAACTATCCAAATGTCCACGCAAAATGACCTCTGTTTGACAGTGCAGGGAGGATATCTCTGAGTAGAAATCTCTCAGCTTTCTGGCCATCTTTTGCAGTGTTGTAAATGCAGGATGGTGAATGTTTGCAGACACATCAGTTGACTTCCAAGTAGTGTTGTGTATGTGCACACATTTGTATTTCTGAAGGTTGGTGGTGCTGTGATTTGTTGCTACTAAAAAGTTGTAAAGTTTGCCACCATGGGGAGGCAAGATGATCTGTGCATCTCCCCCAGTTATTTGTCCCATCACTGCATTTCTGGTGCACTTTATTCATTTCACTGCTCAGTCAGTACTGAGGTGGAAGAGTCTTATGCTTCAGTGAGAAGCTGAAGCTACTGAAGTTTGTTTTTGGCTTGGCATATTTAATATGTCTTCATTGAGTGGATACTACAGAAACAATGGACAAATAACAGTTTGTCTCTGAGGAATTAAGAGATACATTTCTTATTTTAGAACTGCTTTTCAATTAGGATCTGTTTTGGGGAAAGGATGGTATTTTATCATACTTGCTTGCTAGGTTTTTGTAATCATATTCAGATTTTAGTGTTTCTTATCAGGAAAGATATTCATGAGTTTGAAGTAGGGCTAATGTGAACTGAAAAGCTGGATTGGGTTTCTTGGTTTTTGGTTAACAAAAAAAATTCCCAGTGGAACTTTTGGACTTAGGTGTTTGTATTTATTGGGGAGTAGCAGTATGTGTGTGGGCATGGAGGGGGTGCTACAGTAAAGAATCTAAGGTATCTTTGGTACTTCAAAACCATTTTTTGTGTTTTTTTTTTTTTTTGTATGAATTAGAGCCTACATGGAGTTTGGCAAAATCTTGTGGTATGGATAATGTAGTATACTTGGCACTAAAGAACACAGATTGTTGTTGTTGTTGTGAAGTACTGTCGAGTTAGTTCTAACCCATAGCCACCCTGTATAGGGTTTCCGAGGAGCAGCCGGTGAGCTTGAAATGCCGACCTTGCAGTTCAGAACACAAATTAGGCAGCTAAATAATAGGGTATTGAATCAATAAATTGTGTTTAGCATTTTGACAATGGAACTGACATAAGAAAAACCTGGACCAAGAGTAGGGCAGTCATTTTAGGGTAAAAACTCCTAGCAAGCAAACCCTTCTCTGACTTTTCTTTGTACCTCTTAATGACGAGACTGCATATCCCTACTGTCCTCACTGGCTTGTGGAGGCAAAAGTACTACCGAATGGCCCTTTTCACTGAACTCTAATGGGAAAAAAACTCAACAGCCCTTTTCCATACTTAGTCACATAAAACCATTCCCCAACCAAGACAAAACACTTTCCTCCATGTGACATCAAAAGCATGACCATAGTTGGCATAATTATGTCTATTGGGGTTCCCCCCCCTATTTCTTACTCTGCCCATTCTTTTTAGGTTCTTCCTTTCAGTTCTGTGTAACTCTGTGTAGCTAAAGTAGACATAATGTTCTTCAGTAATAAACTTTTAGTGTCGCCTGTTCTTCATAGATACAGTATTTGAATAGTTGCTAAGGCCGTACTTTATGTTTAGGTGTACATACTGAAGTTTATCTTTCCAAGGAGTTTGTTTAATTCACACGGTTTCCATAAGAGCTGGGGGTCAAGAGCTAGGATTATTCCAGGTCATCTGAAAATGTTCTGGTGATGTGTACAGTGTTTCATTTATCCTTGGGATGTGGTACAGTGACTGTAGAATAAAAAATGTTTGCTGGTAACCCACAAGCAAGTACTGGGGTTACTTCTAGAGTCCAGTAAACAATACACTGCTCTGTGAAGAGCAGAATGAATGTCAGAAGCTTTCAAGAATGAACTGATGAATCTGAGGGCTTTCTGTGTGTGGAGAGATTTCTCTTACTCCTTAGCCACTCATGAAACTTCTTCACTTGCTGTCCTTCCTCACAAGCAACTGGTCAACAGGCAGTAAATTCCTCAGCAGTTGGTGTGATGGAGCTCAGAGGAGCCTAACCAGGGACAGCCGGGGAGGGAGTGCTGTGTTTACTTCTGAGCAGAATCTCTTCTACTAGTCAAGAACAGTGTATGATTTAGGTGGAGTTTCCAAGGCGAAAGTTTTTCGGTCAACCATTGACACCTTTCTCATGGTTTCCTCTGTGGGGGTGGCTGACAATGAATGCCTCTTTGGCTTTTATATTTCTTTGGCACTTTATAAGTACCTTCCCATCACCTAGGGAAGTTAAAGATCAGACAATTTTTACAATAGGATCAAAAGGGAAGTGAAGGACTAGCCCAAGGTCACCAAAGTATCACTGAGGCAGGATGGGAATTTAGAGCTCCATTGTTTCTCAGATCCCTTGTGTTCTCTGTCACTGTCATCAAGAGAACGGTAATGCCTCAATTCCCGACCTTTGGTGTTAAAGTATTTGAATAGTTGCTGAGAACTAGGGGACTAGGGTCACCAATCTAAATAAAAAGACAATTTTTTTTTTTTTTTAAAGAGGATTGCCTAGCTGACTGGGCTAGTCATAGAAGGAAGGAAGAACCTGCCTTTTCCATTATCATCAGCCGTAGCCCTCAGGTCACCTGTTCAGTTTTAAGTTCAGCCAAGTTGCAGCGGAAAGTGGTTATGGCCCAGCAGACACCGCGCTTCGTAAGGCTTGGCACAGTGCTTTAGTCTGCGAGGGATATCCAGAATAATAAACGAGTCACATCATTTTCCTTGGGTCCTCCTTCTCTGCCCTCATCACTATCATCCTTAGCAGGGTAGACTCTCTTTTCAAATTTTGACTCTTTTGCTCTCGCCTCATGGAGTCTGAACTCCTTGGCTTTGGTGATGATTATCTTTGTGTCCCAGAACCTAGCATGAAATGTTAGTCGTGTTTGCTGATCTGAAGTGAGACTTGGTTGGTGCGCTTTCCTCTCTCCTGTCTGCCCCTCAGGATGATGTACCACTTTCAACTACTATTCTGCATTGAGTATTTCCTAGGGCTACACTGCTGTCTCAGAGAGAGCCAGGGCAATCTTTGGGTGTCTGTCCAAAAATGATCACTAGTGGAAAATTTGTATAATAATTTTTATGATTTTAATGAAAAATATCAGAAATCATTTGTGCCAAAAAAGAAAACCTGAGTAAAAGATACAATAGAGCTTGAGAGATCACCTTAAAATGTTCGGATAGGAGGCTTCGCTGTAGGTTAATGTGCTGAACGACAAAGTCAGTTTGAACCACAAGGTTGTCAGTTCAAGCTCACCAGCTGATCCTCAGAAACCCAATAGAGAGGTCGCTATGGTTGGAACTTAACAACAACAACAACAACAATTTTTCCGTAGTTTTTCTGGCAGTAAATGAGAGAACTTGTTAAAGAGAGTTATTTAGACTTTTAGAGATGAAAGACTTTGGAGGTTACCTGGGCCAAACTATTTTTACTGAGAGAAGATCCAGAAAGCTAAACTGTTTGCTTCAGCTGATTGGTGACTAAGCCAGGCGTAGAGTAATACAGGCGTCCTAATTCTCAGGCCACTGTGTCACACTCTCTGGGTTCTTGGTGCATCCCTATAAAAGGCCAAGGAAATCTGATACACAAATAGACTTCTCTCTCTCTGGCACTTCCTAGCTTGGTCCATTTTAATCACAAGCCAACTGGTCTGAGGGCACTGAGGTCTGTGCCAAGGAAGATGGTGTGTGTGGGAGTATTGAGTCGAGAGGGTGTTGTCAGGTGTGAGAAGAGGAAGTAGTAGGAGTTAGGGGATGAGGAGAGAAGGGTCGGGCCGACTTGTACTTGTTTTGCTCATTGCAGCAATAATTCTGACAGCTTATGAGGATTTGGTACTTACGTATTGAGCTGAAGCAGTGGTCCTGCTATTTTAAAACCCCTCTCTGAGGAAGCTATGAATGGGCCATAGTCTCTTTTACCCAGGGACAGCCAAACCCATATCTTTACTTATGTGCAATAAGTTCCCTGTGTAAACCTATGTAAGCCAAAAACCTATTGGTTGGTTTTAGAGAAGTGGCTATGGAAAAATGTCCTCCTTAGGGTAGGTCAAGGGAGAAAAGATCCCAATTGTGGGCATCAAAGGCGCCGAACTCAAACAAATTCTTAAATCCTAGCTGAACTATGTTTACTCATTCCAAGGAAGGCAGGGATCAAGGGTGTAAGGGGCTTCTGGGAGTTACATGAAGAGTAGTTTCATTTTATTACCGATATTTAAAACTTGTCCTTGGTTTAGATCTCTCAGCTGAGTGAGCCAGTGTCCAATAAAGTCCCCCGGGGGTAGGGGGTATGCAAAGTGACCATTC